ACCTTATACTATTCCTCTAGCTTTACATAAAGTGCGTAACAAAACTCCGAGGCTTACTTTGGCTGCTATTAGCGTGGAAAACGTTTTGCAAATTAAGCTCAGTAACTCAGAGACGGGATGTCGCTGCGAAAAGTATGGGAAAGAATGATTGGATTTGAAATCACCTGACTTGCAAAAAAAAAAACCGGTTAGTTGGCGGCGCTTTTTTACGATAGTCGAAACTAAAAAATAAAATTAATCAAATAAAACGTGGGTACTGGAAGCATCCTAAATGAAAGAAAATGTTCTCGATCTTTCATGTTGGATTCAAGATAAAAGTTTTTCAAGGGAAACGCCCCAGTCTGTTGAGTCTGGCAGTAAATTTCCGTGAACCGCAAAGATTAATCAGATTTTGCCGTGATAGTAGTAATCTTATCAAATTTTGTTGGCACACCCCATTGACGCGCACGCCAGGGAACCCATGAAACTGACCAAGTTCAAGTTCAGCGCGGATTCAAAATTCAGAATACAAGTTTTCCTCCTTGTGACTGGATTTCTGTAGATACGAGGAAATGCTTTGTGAAGCCGCAGATCTGGTCTTTTTTTATGATCCACCCAATATCACAAAAAAATGCATTATCTCGCAATCAGATTATTGTTAATCCCACGAGGTCTTTTCTCTTTATGAAAGCTCAAGGGTACTCGTTTAAATACCTAGACAAAAAGAAAAAAAGTTTAAAGAAAAATTGAGTTATCTGCATTAAGTGGTGTAATGCTAAGCCTCAGGATGTTTTGCTTTGGGTGTTTCTGGATAATTTGTATTTAGGGTTTAAGTCTGCATTTTAATAGTTTGAAAGGGAGCCTTAGACAAATGTTAGAAATTTAACATAAAAACTCTCTTTTTTTCTTTTTGCTGTCAATTTATACTGCAAAAATTAACCATAACATAACGCGAGTGAATTTAATTAAAGGTCAAAGATTTGTGTAAACTCGAGGAGAAGATTTTAGAAGAAGAAATTTTCAAGGCAATCTATCTTGACAAAGAATTGAGATCTTCTCCAACTTCCTAACAAAAATAGCTTAATGTAGAGGGGTTAAACTCTAGCGAGTCGGCCACAAACACGGTCGAACGTACATCATACAAAAGAAAAGGCAATACTACATATAAGGCAAATAATGAAAGATTTTTTTTATCCCCGGATTTTTGTCACTTTGTTAATACTATAGTCATTCCATGGCTGTTCTTTCCGCATCCTTAGAGCATAAAGGCCTTCTTCGCACCATAGTAGCGAGGCATAGAGATTGCGCTTTTATTCCTTTCATGGGGCTTGTCGTGTCAAGATCAGGGTTTTTCTTTTTTTTTTATGCTAATATTGTAATTTCAAAATTTAAGTGCAAAATTAAGTGAAGTTGAAGTGAAGGTTGGCGTTAACCGCAGTTGTAAGGCTACAAGGCCGAGTTTCGATGGTGGACTTAACGTTTTCCTGCACTACAGGGTCAACGGTTAAACGTGATTTGATTCATATAGATGTAAGTCAATTAGACAAAAGCGAGAACCTCCACTCCCCCAAAAACAAAAACAAAATTTTGTCTTCTCTAGTATGTTGTTGTGTTCTTCAGTATGTACTAAAGCTTTCTTTACAATGAATAAAAAAATCATTCCGCACATGATAAAGTCAAACATATAAATCTTTTAAAGCTACTTTCGTAAAAGATATGAAGTTTCGTTCCCAATACACAACGGAAGAAAAGGCCTCTTAAGAAGAAAGCATTATCCTGTAGGAGGAAATCGTTTTTTTTTGGCGTGATCTTTGCAAAAAAAAGGCCATCCGTAGAGAGTCAAGTTCGGACCGTCCAGGAATCAATCATAGGCCTGTTTGCCATGTGATACGGGTAAATGTACCAACCACGTGATGCATATCGAAGCTGTTGTGTCTGTATTTGAAACGGACTCGCGGCACTGGCTAAGCAGGCTTAACAATTAAGCCAAAGGTGAGAGAACAAGTCCGCTATTAATTCCTACAGGACTAATGACTTAAGCTTATTAACTGGGAGATAATATGACACATATAAACTCGTCTATCAGCGGCATTGTTGTTGTCTACCGTTTAATTAACGACTAGGAAATGAAAAAAAAACGAGAAAAACTGAAACGTTTGTTCTACAACTCCATACTTTCTTGGATGCATGGCAAAGACGAAGGACAAAATTGGATGTTCCAACTTTCGAACTAATGGTTTCAGTATCAGCTCACCCACAAGGCAAATTTCTAGTAATAAAAATGTAAATCAGAAAACCTCTAAAATAGCCTCACACGAGTTCTTTATATTACACTGGAATAAATGCATTTCCTCGGAACAACCGATGAACGCATAAAAGTAATTTTTTTAAGTAGAGAGTCATTTTCTTTGTCGGGATTAGATACTTCTTTTTCCGTTGTTGCTTACTTCAGATGATCAGTTCCACGGTCTGGATCAGCCGAAATATGTCAAACGATATCTCTAAATCTCGGGGGTTTCCTTGTTTATAGAGAGCGTGAAAAGTTGTTTACCAAATTCACTAAATCAGAAAGCTAGATAAGCTCGTTAATTTCCATGCAATTATTAATTAATTGTTAGGCCGTCTGTGCACACGACCACAATACACGTAGTTTCTCGCGAGGAAATTGTGTTCTCAAAAATCAACATAAGTAACATTTGATGTCGTTGTTGCCTCGGACGGTTTTGACAATGCTCTGGTTGATTCTCGCCGGGGCAACGACGAAGCACTGCTCGGGAAGGATTTAGCAAACGATATCAGCTTTGCTTTTATTGACATTTCCTGCCGCTGATAAAATATTGGGTTTTCACCGCTTGTTGTGTGTTTATCATCTGTGTTGAGAGCTCGGTTTCACAAGAATGTACCGGTCGTTGGAAAAACTCGTTCCGTGCCTGCTGTTTTGCCTTAATTTAATAGGTAAGCTAGAAATTTAGTTTTTTGAACTTTTGGTTAAAAAACGTTAAGGCGATGTTCTGTTGCAGTATAAAGTTGAAATTCTGGTGAATTTACATATTAAGCTCGAGTGTTTTGAAGCTTGATAACCCAAATACATCGGTCATTTTGTTGCAGAATTTCTTCAAAATGAAACCTCTATGTCTCCACCTCCGTTTTCTAATTGAAAACGTTTTTCAGGTAAAAGGCAGCAAGAATGAAAGCATTCAAACTCGGGTTTAATTGCCTTACAAGAACTGAAAGATTGCAATAATCACTGTTTATGAGTTCCGGCAGAATTTATCGCTTTGTCATTTTGCCATTGAATGAAACCTTTTCATATCATTGTACAAGCAAAATACTTTTGAGTAAGTGAAAAAAAAAAAACGTTCTTTTTTAGAGTGACCTAACTCGACTTCACGAAAATTATGCAGTTTTAATTTTTTATAACATGCGACTGGTGTTCTCTAATACTAATACTCCCGAGTTTACAGATTGTTGACCAAAAATACTTATTCTTTTTTTGGCAGCTGCAAGTAAACAGCACTACAGTGACTTGGAAAGACTCCAAAAAGATTTATTCTCCAACTACAGTACAAACATCATTCCACAGAAAGAAAAAACTGCTGCAGTCAATGTCACATTTGATTTAGCTCTCAACCAAATTATTGATTTGGTGAGTTCCACAGTTCTTCTTAATCCTGTTAACTTACACACCTTTGCTTGTTACGGTTTGGTTCGATCCTGAAGGTTGTCTCACGTTTTTGGTTTAGATAGATGTCAATTGCCTTTGCGATCCTTTTTGCGTCGGAGCAAATGAGCCTTGTTTCAAATATGATTCTCTTGTATTTCTCTGAAAAAGCATATCGTATTCATTTCATGTTTGCTGCTGTAAGACTTTAATTAAATTACTTTGCTTACTCAAAACATAGTAAAGAAGTTTCTCCTCATAAAAATTTTAAATCTAAATCAAAGCCATGGAAGTTGGAATATACCCCCGGAAGAAAAACTGGTGATTGGCTGTCACGAAATAATTCCGTAAGGCAAAACGGAAAGGAAAAAAAAAGAAGTAGAGTATTGCTTGGGTTTCATTAGTATTTTGTTTTTCGGTGGCGTGAGTGTGTATAAATAATAGATAGTTCTCATATGTCCTGTAGGTGCTGGAAGAGTATCTTTATGGTAATCACTATCATTAACCCTGCTGTGTCGTGGGACTGCCAATCTTGAATTTCAAATGTCTGAGAATTTCAACGTCACGGAGCTCAGCTTCGGGTTAATTATCAACCTGCTAAATCGACTTGCAGGGCTATTCTTGTTAAAGAAAATCACTTTACAACAGAAGCCTCTGCTTTACAATGAATGCCTTGTATCAAAATTTTACGATATATAACACCCAATACGGATCATGTTCTACACGTAAGCCAAACCCAGTTCTCAGATTCCCTGGTAAATTACACACAATTGGGAATTCTCGCAAAGTATATTTTACAGTTTTACAAATGTTGCAAACTTTTTAACTTTACGTAGTCGTTTCAGGATGCCCCCCGCCTCCCATGTGAACCGATCTGAAAAACATCGGATAGAAGTGCATAGAAGCCCAGTCAGTAGGATATGTAGAAAAAACTTAGGCCGGCCATTCTCTGTCAGGAATTATAAAGTAGAAATTACAATAGCCAGTCACAAAAGGGCCGCATGTTTAAGAGCATTACATTATCATTGAAACTATCATGGTATTCCTGACTTAAAAATGTCTTAAGACCACTCACAGGCAATAAGTCGTCCCGACCCCCAAACAGATGCTGGGCATTTTTGCAGTCTGACGTCGGTGGGGTACCATCCGTGAAAGAGAGTTTAATGCTATTTAAAAGAGATCTATGCGATATGTTTTACTTAACTTTAAGCAAGTAGCTTATCTTTTCGACATAGATTGAAGTTACTTTTCACGCCGCGCACGGGGGTCGGGGAAGGGGGGTGGGTGGGGTTGACCCGCTACCTGGTCCATCCTGTACTTTACTATGGCGTTTCCTTGGACACTTATAGTAGACAGAGTGCGGAATTTTTGACTGACTGTTTAAACGATTCGGGTGTTAATTAACCACCTAGTAGACCCTAGTAAAAACGTGTTAAACTAAGGAGCACTTTCCGAGAACGATCCGTCAGCCCAAGTGGATAATGAGCCAAAGTTTGACTGAAACGTTTTAGTTTTCCAACTTCTCTTTACATTACTAATGTATACGTAATCATAACCATATGTAGTCCGATGCAAATATTCTTTTTTTTTATGTCTTCTCGTTTTTTTGTGATGCAAATAAATGTTGCTTTTGCACCATTTGAAACATCGTGTTCCTTTTGAAGAGCTCTGTTTGTATAAAAATGATAAGAATTTATTTCACAAGGTCAACAAGGGTAAAACATCAATTATTATTGACCCTGTAGTCTACATGATGGCCTTCCTAAAGCTAGAAAACTGAAATAGATAGATACACTTATAGATAGATATATACTAGATAGATATACACAGATTGCAAAATTGGAAAAAAAAACCAAGAGTAATGTAAATCGTTAAGAAATAAAATTAGGGTATACTTATAAAAATGTTTTCAAAAGTACACTTTTCACAACAAATGTTCCTTCCTTGCATATTAAGAGCTTTTCGTAGAATAGTGCCTTTCAAAAGTGGTGTCCTCGTATTAACTGTGCTTTTACGACCATGGTGGTCATGAAAACTCCGCCACATCCTCTGGATTGTAGTAAACAAACTGTTTTTCCATTTACCAATGTTGCACGTTTTTCTGAGCAAATGTGAAAATAAATGCTCACGGAGAAGACCAAGCTTATCTTCCTTTGGCACTCATGATGTCCTTTACTATGCTGATATTTTGCAGGACGAGAGACTGCAAACTATGACGACCATTGTGTGGGTGAGGCTGGTAAGTAACCATGGCGACCACACAGCCGCTAAGCTAAAAAGAATTCCTCAATATTCCTGGGAGCGTGTGTACAACGTTGAAATGATGATCCGCAGTTCTTAAAACAAACACATTGGATTTTAAGTAACGACCACCTCGATCATAAATGTACTGAGAAATGAAACCTATTGCCCTGCATATCTAGACCTGGAACAATTCCTCTTCTTTCTGGCATTGCAAAGCCATGATTAATAATAGTAATTGAACTGAGTGGAGTNAATCTTGGAATCCTATCTTCAGTTGAACAGAGCGCAAAACTCCCTAAGGTACTACAGGGTGAGAGGGGTGCCTCCCTCTCACTCTACAGCCCCGTATCCCGTCACGGTTCCCTGTAAATAATCATTAGTTAGTTAATTTAAGTAATAGACTGAATATTTATACGGGTTCCTTGGAAAACTGAGGAGGCAGAATTTTGGGGAGAACTTGTAAAGACTTTTTAAAGAGCTGCAACGCGCATAGTTTCTCTGGGTTTACACTCGATAGTTTCGAGATGCGACGATGTATTTCTACGAGCGTATGTTTCCACTCAGTCACGATCAATCCTATAAATCTCTATAATAACGATTGGTCTTCTTTGTTTCAGTACTGGAACGACTTCAGACTGAAATGGAACATTTCCCATTACGGAGCAATACGGTCGTTTGTGACATCATCGAAGAAAGTGTGGCTTCCAGATATCACTTTGTATAACAAGTGAGCGTGAAACAAATCATTGTATTTTCACATATTTTCACTTACTTTGCCATACTCACGCGCTGACCAGTCTCAACACTCAGAACTAGAATTAAAAGAGATGCTAAACACTTAGTACGTTGAATGAATATAGAATGGGTGAATGAATACTTAGGAACTACATGTCGGTATATTACATTCTCAAACTCTAAAATAATTCATCACGTTGTCATAACTCAGTGACGGTGTTTGGATATCTGGTCCTTAGTGCAGATTTTCACGATTTTATTTCTCCGTTTTTTTTTAAGTTCTAGTCTCGATTGAGAAGATAAATCAAACACTCAAGACTGTTTTTAACCACATTCCAGACTTCTCAAAGTTCGTCAGTCAAAAATACTCCGCGCTGCGCGTCGTCTTTTCAACTCTCCTCACGGTGTTTGGAAATGTTATAAAAATCGGTTTCTCGTGTTTGATATATTACTTTAAAAATTCGCAATTGAGTCGTAACGTGTAGTTGCTCTTTGGCTTATAGTAGAGCTTTTGAATTGGCATAACATAAGTCAAAGTTAAAGGTTGGAATTTCGTTAAAGCCCGACTTTTTTTGCGCCTTATTAGGGTTCTGTAAAACTGGGGAACTCTATTTCCCAGCCGCAATTCATTATTACATTTTTATATACATAATATCAATGATTTATTTGTTAAATATGTGACTACGGGCACTATATAGTTTACTTGTAGTGCCCAAGAATCCCGTGATCTGATTTAAGTTCTCTGTTGCATTCATTGCATCGAAGATTTAGTCGATAAATCAAAATGCTGACTCTTATATATTTTTTTCCTTTTCAAAGTGCTAACGACAACTATGACAAAGAGAAAGAAGAATATTATGGGCTCACCATTAACTCCAATGGAAATGTAGGCTGGTTCTACCCAACGATATTCAAAAGTTCATGCACGATTGATGTGACATATTTTCCATTCGATGATCAGGTATGTGAAGACATTATAAATATGGCGACATCCACTGTGACTCAGAATCGTTTTTAAGGCCTGGATGGCTTACCATTTGCTAGAAAAATAAGGCTGGAGTTACCACTGAATGGTGATAAAATTTTCTCCAAAATAATCTGATCGGAAGTTAGCGCTAATGCTACTTATGGTCAGTTGTTGGTGTTCCGCACGAATGGAGAAAGTACCATTCGAATTAAAATTTTGATTTCGAACCGAGATTTTCTGGCAGCGTAGCTCTGTAAGTATCAGAAGAGCAAGGTTCAGAGGGTCATATAGCAGCTCTTGTAAGGTCTCACATGAATGGCTTGCTACTCTTTGAGAGGACAATAGAACAAACAATAAAAACAATTCCCCTAGTCCTAAAACAATAACAGCTGCAGCAGTAAGAAAACAAGGTTCAGAGATATTTCTGGTTAGAAACCACGTTCGTGAATGCGTGCTCAAAAACGAAATCGACTTTTTTATATTTAAATGCTATTTCTTTCTTACTGCCACTTTTTTTTCCAGAAATGTATCCTAAAGTTTGGCTCGTGGTCATATCACGGTCTGAGTCTGGACATATATCATAATGGACCAGGCGACACTGACGCTTTCACCGATAACGGAGAATGGGTTCTAGTCGGGATGCCTGTGACCAAGTTTATAACCAAGTATCGTTGCTGTCCGGAGCCTTATCCATTCATCACCTACAATATTATAATCCGCCGTCGGACCATGTATTACATTCTAAACTTCTTGACTCCCTGTGTCCTAATGTCCGCTTTGACAATCCTGGGATTTTTTCTACCTGTGGAGTCTGGGGAGAGGATGAACGTGGGTGTGACTGTGCTACTGTCGTTAACTGTGATACTGCTGTTATTAGCCGAAGAGCTTCCGGCCACGTCGGAAGTGGTGCCACTCATTTCACGCTACTACACGCTTACAATGATAAACGTTTTCATCTCAATCGTTTTCACGTGCATTGTACTCACGTTTCACCATCACGCGCCCACGCCCCTGCCGGCCTGGGTGCGACTTTTTATTTGCCAGTGGTGCGCAAACGCGTTACGCGTGAAGCGCAACGGAAGCAAAAACGAATCATGCCTCCCCGCGAAGCGCTTCCTTAAAAACCGGAACATGAGGAGACATTCGCTGGGAGAGAGGCTCTACAGCGAGGAAAGCGCAGAGCCTGTTGCTACAAACCCGTTTGTAAACGCGAATCATGCACAACCGCCTGGGTCGGCATCTACGGTGTCGATCCAGTTGAAGAAGTTAGACGATCGAAATCCGACTGTACGAAAGAGATTTAATCAGGGTTTGAAGCAATCCGAAGCTTTAGACATTCTTGCAGAAAGAACTAAGAAAGACGACGAGAAAGAGCGGCACAAGGAGGAATGGCGTTTTGCCGCTCAGGTGCTTAATCGATTGTTCATGTGGATTGTTCTGTTTCTTGTTGTGTTCAACTGTCTCAGCGTTTTATTTTCAGCTCCAAGTGAGAACCTTAACTAGATCAAACTATGAATGTGGGAATTTCGATACTGCTGTCTCATTCTACGCCGGGACGGCTCTCTAAAGCGAAGTCGCAAAAAGTCGGTAGGTCCTCGTTGTTGCAGCCACTGACTCTCTTCATCTACCTTAAGGCGGACAACTCTTTTCTGAGAAAATTCTCTTAAGGTGGACACCTATCTTAGTCGGACACCTCCCTGAGACGACACCTCCTTGAGGTGGACAGTCACACCTGGTCCTTAACTCGTGCGCTTGTACTCAATCGCTTCCTTAACTTATGAAGAGTCGCACGACACTATGGGGCCGTGCAAAGACGTTAATTGTTCAAGATGACCTTTTAAAGATCTCAACCAATGACATGCGGTGTAAGTCATATATTAATTCATCTCTGCCAGTTTTATGGACAAGCTACCAAATGTGCTGCTTCATAAAAAAAAAACCCAGTAAGCTAGTTAAAAGTACAACTGATGTGAAACGTAGACAGAGATGCAATATTAATGTAGAAATTCTTCATTGACAAGGAAGTGTGCAGCCAGCTCAACTAAAGAGATCAAAACTCGAAGACAAAACAGGAATTCAAGAAAAAGAAACTTTAATAGAAGGGATGAGATGGACTTTCAGATTCCTTAGCTTGGTTGATTTAACGGTGCGGATTAGGAATGGACAAAGACCATTTATTCTATTATCTGTCTTTGCTTGTTCTCTCCAGAGGGCTAATGAACTGTCAAGAAGCAACGGCCATCAGTCTTTGCATCCCTTGAGTACATCTTTGCTCGAAGCGATAAGACTGGTAACTAGATTGTATGAAGATTACAACTTGTATATTCCTGTCTATGGAAACCTACTTATTCTGCTCCCTGCGGAAGCTGATGAATTTACTCTTAGTAGTATTTCTACTTCAACTCCCCCCCTCCTAAGGTGGGATGCTGGTCCATCGCAGGATTCCCCCACCCTCCCTCCCCCCAATGTTCTTCAGGTTGCCACAACAACCTGACAAAAACAAAACTAAACCAAATCAAACAGAGCTGAATAAGTGTGGTTCAGAAAAGAAGGTGTGGTGTGAATAGTGTTTAAATGTGTATTATAGGTATACAGCGATGTTCAGAACAATAATCATCATGAAGAACATCAATAAAGATAAACACGAGTTGGTTTTGTTCGACGGGTCTTAATCTGTTCAAGTTTTTTACTCTTTCATTTCTCTCCATTCAACATTGTTTAGCCACGCATTTTTTGTTTCTCTCTCAATATGCGATGACCGTTTTTGAGGGTCGAAATCTTGCGCATTTGATAATATTATCAAAGCTACTTTAATAAACGCTTACCAAGAAGACAAAACCTGCTCCAAAAAGGGGGTGGGGCAGAAATTTTCATCTTTGAAACGAAAAGGCCCCAATTTGGGTATACATTCTCGTCAAGATGAAGTGACAATGACGTCCTTAACTTTTCTAATCCTGAGAGAAAGTAGTAACACTGGCGTTCTGGCTGACGTTAGCCTGTCGAGAAGCCCACGTACATCAGTAGTGTGATTAGCACGCGCAATTTATAACCTTTATCGAGGTATCTTTACAACTTCCTAATTTACAAAATCAAGGTAAAAAAGATCCTTTCTGCCGAGTTACGTCAAGTCGGACTGGAAATTGCACAAACCCCACTTTACTCGGTCCCTAAGCCATGACCCAGAGTCAAATATTTTCCCGTGTACCCCTTCCATTTAGACGATAAGCCCATAATAATTCTCGCGGATTTTTATTGGTAAAGCAGTTAAAACAGTGCACACACTCCGAGTACTGTCGGGTAGCTTCGAGTTGTTTTGATTTGGCTAAGGTTCGTACACACCAGGGGACTAGTCCCTAAGACTAGTCCCTGCTACAAGGCCCCGGGAGAGATCTCATCGTGTGAGCTACCCGTTTTTGTCAAAAAATCAGTCTAACCCCGGGGACCAAATTCGGTCCCTGTGACTTGTCCCTCAAAACCCATCTTGTAAACTGCTCGTGGGACAAGTCTCTGCGACCAAATTGAAATAAACCAATCACAGACCTGCATGATAAGCCCCCATAACTCCGTGCGCTTTCTATTTCGAGATGGTGCCTAGCCACTCGGCTCGGGATGACGGCATTGATGTTGAAGAAACAGCTTAGAGAGTTACTACCTCGAGAATTCTGATAGAATTTTACGAAAGCAACATTGACAACTCTGTTACCTGGAAATCACATAAAAGAAGCTCTGGATAATTTGGCTGAACAATCTTTATTTTATTGTATTGCGCTGATTTATTTAAATGCTAAATTTGTTAATTTAAGTTTAATAATATCGATTTCAAATTGGGAAAGCCGCAGAATGAAAGAATGCTGCCATTTCCCCCTAGTTTTTACTATATTCCTGTGCAGTTAGTCCCCGCGCGTGATCGCCACGAGGGAGGAGTCCCACAACCAGTTCCCTCGTGTAAACTCTTCAAGGGACTTGTCGCAGAGAATACTCTCGGGGACTTTTCCCTTCTTGTGTGCCGACCCGCGCCCTCCCCTCCCACCTAGTGCTTTGCTAGAAATTGCAGACGTACTCGCGTACGAAGCCAAGAAGGTTTCTACATCAAGGTTTCGAAGCAAAACTCATGAGTGTTTCCGGCTATAAATATTTTACTCAATTCCAAGAGGAACCTCGCAAGAACACGTTCTAATGACGCAAACAAGTTATTAAAACCACGGTGGGTTAAAGCATAATAATAAAAAAGAAGAGCAAGACAAAATAAATCGAGGAAGCTTAATTAAAGAAAAGCACAAATTTTCTCCAAAATTTTCTTTTCGCCATGGATCGGTCCAATTGACCATTTTCAGTCTCTAACGAACAAAATTTGGCTCGATGAAGGATTTCATACATTTTTGGTTAACCCTTTGAATACCAACTACGCATATATGCTAATTAATGGTCGTGCTCTTTGTACCACTTGTAACGTCATCAATTTGAATGTCATCAGATATTCTTGATAAGCAGATAGTAGTGCTAGGCTAGCCCTTTCCGC